GGGGGAGAGGGGTTCCTGATAAAAAAAAAATTGTTTTTAAGTATACAAAATACCCTTGAGTTCATCTATGTTGGCAAGTCCATTCTAGAAACCTCAGAGATAGAAGACGTCGTCGCTAGAGCCAATTTGGGTAACCTAGGACTCGAATCTGTACACAACGACTGACCTAGTGGCCTACGTTTAAACTTAATAATAACAACAGACATGTTATCGCAGCCCATTCCAAACGGGTACGGCGAAAGACACTGGTCGATCAGCATCTCGGCGATCTCCCCGAGTGATTTCCGCATCTGAATAAACGAGCGTACAAAGTCGATCACTTGCTCATTTGACATGACATCCCAAATCCCATCACATGCGATAACGGCGAATTCGTCTCGGTCCCGATTCAGATGGTGCGTACGAACCTCCGGGGCGCTCGTCACGGCTTGCTGATCCCACGAAACCTGAGAATTTCGCTTAAAACTGAAGTCGCCGATGGCCCGACTTAAGGCCAGGGCGCCGTTCACACGGCGGTTCATGACAAACCCCCCGGCCCGCTCGATGCGGATTTGCTCGATCGGGTTGAAGGGTTTGTGGTCCAGACTCAACGGGTAGGCCTCGCTGTCTTTGCACAGCACACAACGGCTGTCCCCGGCGTTCGCGCAGTAGACCTCATCCCCTTTCACGTAAAGCACCACGGCTGTGCTCCCACTGCGGTAGGCCTCCCCGCTGGTGTGCAGGTAGCGGTCGACCTCCATGAAGCCGTCGTAGAGGGCCTTCTCGATGTTGCCGCTCAGAAACGCGTGTGTTCGAGAGACGAACTCGTACATCCGCTCACCGCAGAACTTCGAGGTGGAGGGCCCGCTGTGGCCATCATAGATCCCAAAAAAGCCGCCGTCTTCTAAAAGCATAAGGGTGTGGGAGTCCTCCATCGAGCGACGCCACCCTTGCATGCAGCTACTACCAAAGGACAGCGTTTCATTCTCACCGGAAGTTGTGTTTTTCTTCGTTATCGGCTCCATCATAATATCTGCGCGCCGTAGTGCATCGGTGTATAATACCACCTCGGACGACCGCCATACCCAATGGATAATTAAACTCGAAAACTGAAAGAACCCAAACATCCACAGTAATATCATCCAAAGGCTACCCAAAACCCAACCATAGTTCATTTGCATGATGTAAATTAATATCATGGTGAAGCCCAGCACCATAAACGTCCGAGCAACCTCAAACTTCCGAAACATGTACTGATTTCCCTGAGTGGTACGAAGGATTTGAAACTTTTCATGAAAATATTGCAATTGGTGTAGCTTTTGCTGCGGTGTATGAAGTTTCCTCTGATGACTATTGTTCTGCAAAAGGATACCAAATTTGCGCTTCTTTACCATACCTAAATTAAACTACGTTTACTGTCTACGAGAAGAAGAAAATAAAGGAAATAGTAAAAAATGATGAAAAAATGGGTTTCCCTTTTCCAATAAGTATAAGGTATCAATAAATTTTTAGGATGTCATGAAAACAGTGAACCAAACATAAAAATCGGCTTTGATTTTCATTTTCAAAACCAAAAGACTCATTTTATTTGCCCTTTATTGAATTGAATAAAATTCATTGGTGCTAGACATTCCTTATGCATATAATATTAATTCGAAATTAAAGGATCAAAGTGTGTTGACTTTTTTTTTGAAACCTCTATAGACTTGATTTATTTTGCAAGCAATACAGTATTTTTCATCACACCAATTATCTGAAATACTTCTAAAAATGCACTAATTTTAGTTATTTAGAAGAAAAAATTCAAATATCGAACTTTTCAGAAATCTAAAAAATGAATTAACATATGTATGCTTATATAGATATAAGTTTATAAACCCTAAGAAATTTTGTAAATAAAGCTTGAGATAAAAATAGGACCCAAAAGAAAATGAAATGAAGAAATAATAATATAAATTATCCCATTGATTTCATGTTGTTTGCAACTCTCTTTGGTTTGAATCGACATAGGATCGGCATGATGTGCCTCCTTGATGTTTGAATTTTATAGGTTCATATTTCTTTTATAAAGATAAATTTTACTTTATCCTTTTGTGACTGGCTGAATTCTATATATGTGAATATATGCACAATTCTATGCATTTTCTATACGATAAGCAAAGTTATATGCCTAAAAAGAACCACCACAAATATCCACTTCTATAGCTTATAAAATACAAATAAAAAAAATCCTCTTTAATCTTCATACGTTAAAAAATCCTAAAAGGAAGAATACCCTGTCAAGCAGCACAAGGACAACCTCCCTGGAATGGAGACAAATAGATAATAAACTTCTATGAAGGTAAAATATAACAGAAAGCGGAAAATATATCAATCTTTGCCTTTGCCACTCTTGTCAATACCTTCCAAACGTTTACCTCAGCACTTTGTTCAAGGGAGGATAAAGGCAAGATCAGAATCCTGCGGAGACGAGTTGCGATGAGGTGTACGATATTAAACCCTTGCGTTGTACTCCCAGGCTGGGCTTTTTAGGCGTCAGCGGCTTTGCCGCCTTGAAAGGACTCCCAACCACCTTATTCATCTGTGTTTGAAGATGGTGTTGAGCCTGCACTGATTCACGTCGATTTTTAGCGTCAACTTGAGTTTGCTTGACTCCTGAGTTTAAATGGTTCTGCCAATTCCTGGAATTCTCTACATGATTTGGTCGGACCAAAGTGCCCTTATTCTCTTCTTTGACTGTATTTATAGACTTCTTGGACGCAGCGGGTCGCAGCTGCACCCCTTCAGGCGTGTTCAATGACTCTACTTCTAATCCGTTTGTGCAGTCCAGGAGTCGCTTCACTTCTAAGGCTAGGTCCGTGAATTCATGCGCCATCACCGCGTACTGTGGATCACGATGAAGTTTCTGGAAGGCATCATCCGACGTAAGCTGGGTAAACGTTTGAAGGACACGAAGTGCGGCCTCACTCGTCTTCAGGGCGGACTCCGCGCTGATACTACGAAGAGGTGTGCGGAGGTCGCACATGGAAGAGGTCGTCGCCTCATCGGTGGTAGGAAGACAGGTCGCGTCCGGAGCTGCTTGACAGGCGGCATCTCGGAACTCCTTCTCCACACCCGCCGCCTTCCCTCCCGTATGCGAGGATGTCACTTGCGTCTCCGCAGCCTCTGTGAATAAAAATCGGAAGTGCCGCAGCACTGTCATGACATTGTCAGCATCTGTAGTCATAGAGGACAATGCCTCATTAGTCCCAGACTCGGAGAACACCAAGAGAGAATCATGGAAAGAGGGATGCGCTGACGACGCGTTAATGCTGTGGTTCACAACAGGCCTTTTGGGAAGGGAGTTACCGCGGTATCGTATGATTTTTTTGTCCTTCCATTCAAAATGAAAGTCCGAGATAGGTTCCAATGTGCCAAGGGTTGGCACAAGCAATATCGCACACGTTTCTTGGCGAACCTCAGAAAGAAAGGCGATATCGCCTTCCGCTCTCTCCTTGTCCACAAAACCACCAAGGGGTTGTAAAGTAGTAACATGCTCAAGCCGATGAAGCACGCTAGTTATCGTCTCGCATTGTGCAAGATGCATAATGGCAGACCTCGGAAGCTGTTTGAGGTATGAGTAAAGGAGCATCCATAGCCGCGGCTTCCATGGCGCGTAATAAAGATTTTGAAGGATAACACTCACTTGCTCTTCCATCTCCATAAGTAAAAAGTACGGCAGGCGCTCAGTCTTAGATTCCAGGCTCTCAATCTTGTTATGCGGCGGCGAGCTGGAAACTTTCACAGACTCCTCAATCATAGCCGCTACCACTCTTCCTTCCGGTGAGCAGTCATCAACGTCTGGGCGTGTGATGATGGGAGAAAGCTCCAACCCTCTGGAAGGCGATGGCGTGAAGACTGCCGATTCCATCAAACCCTCGGGTTTGACTGGGCTCAGTGCGGCATTATCGGCTCTACATGCCGCTGACTCACCATTGCGGACGTCCCCCATGTGAATTGTAGACTGTGCAGTATTTTTGAGTATAGACAGGCATTCACCGGTAAGGTCTCCAGTGTTTGTCTGTGGTTGCACTGGTGACGGAGTCGAAATCACCGCAACTGTAAGATTCTCGGGTTGAGGATTCTGGCGATGTAGAGATTTCGACTTAGAAGCCTCACTAACTGAGCGGACGTCACGGCTGTAAGGGGATGTGCTTAGACCCTTTCCTTTCCCTGTGCGTCCTAAATGATTATCTTGTATGCTTAACGATCTCGCCTCAAAGTCTTGCTCTGAGGGGGCGACAGCTTGGGATGCCGCTGGGATTGATTTACTTCCATCCGTGGCGGCTACCGATGTGCTCCGACTGAGGTGTCGCCCAAAGAGGTGAGGCTGTCGATGACTATTCGCGGATGTTCCGCGGGGTGCTTGACCATGTAAAGCCATGTCCGAAGTCGGAAAAGGAGAAGGCTTCGAAAGCCTGTCCTCATTGGCATACCTTCCCCCCTCCGCGCTATTCCTCTCGCTATGTTGTGAGAGAGCCCGCGCTGTGAGCGGTTCGGTGCGAACCTCAAGGTGGTTTCCGCGGCTGCCATTGATCCCCCCCCCTCCGCGGAGGGCCCCCGCCCCGTCGACAGCCAGTTCAAACCGATTCGCCAGCGAAGCGGCTACCCCTGGCAACGAGGAGTCGTTCGTCCCCGTTGTAGGCGGGGCCTGGGATCGGGAATGGGCTCGACCCCGATGGTGGCTGTGGGAGAGGGGTCGGGGGGACCCGTTCGGGACGTTCTGCGAGCGCGCGCGGCTCTGGGAATGGGCCACGCTCAGGGTGCCCTGACGCGGGCGAGATGTAACAGGTAAAAGCCGCGATGGGGATTTGCCCTTTCCTTCTCTCTTAATAGTGTTGAAGTGCTGAAAGAGGACAAGGGCTGAAACCCCGGCCAGGGCACAGACAATGAAAAAAACCTCTTCCCTAGCCATTCGACCTCGGTGGAACCTTTATCGGTTGGGTGTCGCTTCGAGGGTTCAGCTTGCGACAGCACTCCCTAAAAATAATTAATAAAAAAATGAAGACACTTTTAAAGGAGGCGCTGCTTGATTTGCCAAAACGACTACAAAAACAAACAACTATGTAAGTCAATAAGAACACGTGCTCTTGCGTATGTGCTTGCTACGGAACAAAAGAAATGCAGTAGAATATACAAAGTAAAATAAACCAAAAATGTGACAATTGAGAACTTGATGACACTTTTTTCAATATTTGTATAATTTAAACAAAGCAAAGTTTTCGAGTATTTGCCTTTTTATATTTTTTTTTAACGCAAAATGGTAATGAAATATTAAATACGTGAGAACATGTTTAAGCTGTTTAAATAAAATAATAGAGACAGTAATAAACAGAAATCACAATACTATACACACACCTCTCCCATCCCCACTGGGTACCGTTAGACCTTTCGTGCACAGACACCTCACAACGTCCGTATCTGCGGATAAAACACAGCAGAAAGGCGTTGTAAAGCTATTCCACTCGCAACTTGAATGGGAAGTCCACGAGAGACAAAATTCGAGGCTGTATCCTTCGCCTTGTCTAAGTGCATAGGTGTTTCGCTACTCTCAAAAAAAGGACCAAGGGTTACAATAACCTCACAAAGTCGTAGTACCTCAATGTTGGGGAGTTTGCCCTCCTGTGGAACAACCAGAACAACCGGTCGTTCATGAGAATGCCCGACGTGTCGGTCTACGTCGATGGTTCGGCCAGCAGATCTTAGAATCTCTTCTTCTCGGTCGCACAGTGACACGATGTGCTGACGCTTAAAAATGTGATCAAAGTACCATCGTAAAGATTCTAAAGAACTTCTACTGTGATCGTCCCCGAAACTCTGGTTTATATCACCAACAACAGTAGTTCGATCCCTGATCATCACGTCATCCTCTGAGTGATTAGCACTCCTATGTAAGACATCCCCAGCCCCCAAACCGGTTGAGCCTTCGGCGCTTTCCGGAAAGGACGAGCTACCGTGAAAGTCCGCGGCGTAGAGAAAACGGTGTCCACAGTCTAAAAACCAGAACTGCGGCGCCGCGCTGGTACCATACACTGCATTCACACGACGGAGCAGGACCTGAGAAAAGTCCTCAAGGGGTTCTACCCCAGGCATGGGGCCAAGGAAGGTGGGGAACGTGTAATGGTACGAGCCAACCGATCCAACGACGTTGAATTTTCGCCTGCCAATATAAAAAACATGATCCACCAGAAACGCGTTGGCGTTCCGAATGATTCCTCCAAAGTTTCGCCGGTCAAACTCGTTTTCGTAAAGTACAGAAAGACCGAAATACCTAGCAGCTTCGGCCTTGGAGCCTCCTAGTTCTTCTTGGAGTGCCTCAGAATATTTCGCCCTCTTTAGGTCCTCACTCGCACAATATGCTTGCAGTGAGGCTCGGTAAGTGTGATGCATTGCTTTGATGGAATCTGAATCCTTTCGGTAGTAATTAGGATGAATGGGCCGAGGATCGACTCGGGACGTTGAGTGTCCCTGCGAATGAGGGAAGGCATTCTCACTAACACATAATGCCGTGTCTTTCGGCAAGGACTCCTCAAAAACAGAGTGAAATGTGTTCAATATCCTTCGGTGCTGCAAAATCGAGAATTTTTCCTCTAGGTTCACTGAATTTAGACCCATTTTTCCGTCATCTAGGTCGTTGTTGGAGTCGCTGTCACTAGTAATTGTGCGTGCGTTGGGAAAGTAGCGATCCAAGTAAGCATAAAATAACGCAATCCCAAGTGATGTTACAACGTTAAGGGAGCTAATGGTGCCATACTGCGGAATGTACACAACCTTCTCAACACCTGTCCCCTCGCTATTCAAATCGCCGTCCATTTCTTTGGTAAGTATCTTTGCTGAGTCCCCATTCCTCTCTTCCTCCAATGTATTTTTATGAAAAGTGTTCACCATTTTATGAAAGGGAAATAAGAAATTGGCCCCAACCCCGAGATTTTCGTGCCCGAGCACGAGCCGGCATGAGGACGGAAAACGGGTACGGAAAATGCTCTGGGAATGAGGAATGAAGTTCTCCAGAGCCACTATTGGTAACTTTGTAAAACCACTTTTGAGAAATGACTCTTCGCCAAACAAGGCGACATTTGGACCTCGCTTCGCCTTACCCACGCTGTTCACGTGCGTTTCCGTGTTGCCATCCCTGGGTGTGTGAAGCTGCATATGCTCGATATCCTCCCATCCACGTAGTTTTAAGAAGGATGGTGGGGCAACGGTGCCGAAAAACATGCAGGTTCTAATGGCGTTGGTGGCGTTAAAGGCACTATGGCATCCCTCCAAACCCACCACAAGCTCGTTAAGATGTACCGGTACGCGGCACCACGTGGGTAGGTTCCACGACCACCGCACAAGCGGGTTTGCCTCCAACGGCAAAACGCGCTTGGGGGGATGCTTAGTTTGCTTATGTCGTACGACACATCGCCAAAGCATCCGAAAAATTCAAACCAAACAGGTCGAATGATATTGGTAATAGACGATAAAGATGCATAGATAGAGTCTAATAAAGTTCAATAGAAAATAAGAATAGAAGTGCTTTGTGCAATATGGATGAAAGTGATAACTATAATGACATACATATTTCCATTAGGATCGTAATAAAAGTAATGGAGAATATAGAAAAAATGGAATGTCAGCTATTCATCACCAATCTACTACCTAAATATGTAGGCGTGGATTGATAATACGAAACTGATATACACATACAACAACAACTTGTACAGTAAATCTCACCCCTACGGACTACAGTCAACACCACTATAAACGTTTATGGCAAAGTTACTGCAATTAAACGAAGTTTATATGCTCCTCTTTCCTCAGATCATTATTACTCCTTCCCATACACGTCTCTCCGGTTAACCATTGAATAACAAAATGAAGCAAACCTTGGTGACGAACATAAACTTTCTAAATGTGTCTTTATATGCAGAAATTAAAAGTCTAAAAATGAAAATATAGAACAAAGAAAATGATAAGTTTTAGTGAACAATCCTCGCTCAAGCAATTGGAAACAGAAGAATGATCATATTACCACGCTAATGTGGTGCTGAAAGGTTATTCATTACCCCTATACACCTTTTGTGTGCAATCTAACTTTTCTTATATGTAACTTTGCACCGCCCCCATCTTCCGAAGTGAGAATAAAATTAGAGAAGAAAATGGAACGGGAAAAACTTCCAGGATGACAGGCTTCACTTTTCAGTAACTCCATGCGAAGCAATCCGATCCTGGTGTTCCCATTTCTCATTAACCCTCAGCTCGACCCTGACCTCACCCCACCCCACCCCACCCCTAATCCAAACCTCCACTGCGGAACTGGACCTCTCCTTCCTTATATGCGGTGGTTTGTTTATCCCTTTGTGTTACGACTCCTTGGTGTTGTAGATGCTGAGGATCCCACAGGACACCCCGGTCGCGACCGAGGCCCCTCGCACCGCCGCGAGCGCGCTGTCCGGGATCGTCACCTCAGCCACGCGCAGGGCGTACGGCTGGGGCCTCCGTCGTGACCACACGCAGGGGTTCACCACCAACACCCCGGTGGCGCTCGCTGGGTCGTCCAGCGGGCCCTCGTCCGGGATGCCGGGGCGGGACAAATCGCGCACCCCCTGGTGTGTCACGACGGCAAACTGGGGCCGTGTGGACGGGGCGAAGATCACGTGAGGGATGTACTCCACCCCCCCCCCTTTCAGCGAGGCCGCGGCCCTTCCCAAGGCGCCCTCCTCGGGCCTCACCCGCTTCATCGTCGGCATCTCGCCGGGAGCAGATCGCACGGCGGAATCGCTATCGTCGGTGCCAAGCGAAAGGAGCAGATCCCAATTGACGGAGTTGGGACCGCGCGGCGAATGATCCGTCGCCGGTGCGGTCGCCTTGGCCTCCTCATTCGGTTTGTCCAATAGATCCTCAGAGTCCAAGATGGCTTCTTCCGGAAGATAGTCGAAGCGCATATGATTTAAATACTTCATATCCAGATGGGTGGCTGGCAGCTCCACGATGGGAGTATACCAGCGGCTCTGAATCCATGTTTCCACAACACGCCGAAGGCTGCCCTCTGGGGTCGGCCACCGCTCCACCATTACATTGCGCATGATCCCCACCGTGTCCTCATTGCATACGCCGAAGTGCACGCCATTCACCGAGAATCGGCATGGATTGGAGCGAAAGCAGATGTTCTGGTCGTCCCCCAGGGCGTACTGCACCTCCGGCAAGACCGGCACTTGAATCACATCCTCTCGATGCGGGATCATGACCACCTTCAGATGGGACTGATTCTTATGGTCCGCGTAGTAGATATTCATACAGCGCTCGATGGCGCCCACGCAGGCACTGAAGATCTCCGAAAAGGTCGCATTGCTGTTCATGATGGAATCCCGCTCGGCGCCCTCGAAAGGCTGAAGGAGTGGCCCCCCAATGATAAGGAGGTCAGCGGCGCGTTTCAGGGCTTGGTTGGTCGCGGCGATAAGAAGGGTGATGAAATCCCTGAGCGGAAAAGGACCGCAGAGGAACTGCACGCGGGTCGGAATAGGAGAAAGGGAAGAAGGGAGAGGGGGGCCCCGCGGAAAAGGGCGGTCGACCCCCCACCCCATCAAGGGTCGGTGGGGAAGGACGAGGTCGAGCAGACGCAGCCCCGTCAAGACGCCGCGGGGGCTGCGGCTGCAGGGCTCCCCCA